TCCCACCCACACCCTTCTCTAAAGCCTATGCATGTTAGCAACATACCCCTCAACACCTCATCTGATTCTACCGCAATATAATCAGAACTTACTGAATGAAACGATTGATCAAATAACTAACCTGCTCCATTTCGATACCATACTCTTTGAATAGGAATCTGTTGGAGGGATTTGTAAGAGGAGCAGATATTGCAGAATCACCTTCACCAGAACCACATGCCTGCTTGTGTCCCGATGTCCAATCCAGTGCTTGATGGTCACGGCAGCAGTACCTGATTTGCTTATCATTATGATGAGAAACTTGGTAACAATATAGCACCGTAGATGACGCACAAAGGCTTCCATGGGTATTCTGGGCTTTTGAGTAGCATTGCGATGGTACCGTATGAGAAAAATTCAAGGAAACGAAGCTCGGAGGTCCTGCCTCCAGCTACTGGGTGTATTCGTTCTTGAGTTTATTCTTTTTCCCTCCCATCTTATTCAATGTGTACCTGCCTACCAACTACCGTGAGAATTCTGCTCCTCTTGAGCGATGGAGATGGCTAATACGGCAAATGCGAATAGTCAGACGTGCTTCAATTCAGCACCTTAAGGCAGGGAACAGTGGCGGAGATGCCGATTCTCACGAAATCAACGAGTGGAATTGCGAAAGACCATTTGAAGAGAAGATCATGCAAGCAAGGAATAGATTTCACCAATGAACCAACAAGAAAGAGGAAAACGCAGCCAGAATCTGCAAGGACGGCTCCTTGACTATGCGCACCGAAGCACCCTGTTCAGGGACGAAAAAGTTTTTACTCCCGAATAATAATAGTCAAAGCAAACGAGAGCTGGTGCCTGCACGGCATATTGGGGCAAGATGCGATGTTCACTCCAACTAGTAATCCAAAATGTTCGATTAATCTCGCAAAAATAAGTGCTGCAGAAGCAACACCGCCCCTATTCGTTCTAAGGCATAATTTTCAACACAGTTGGCTATTTGGACAGTCTATGGAAGAAATTAAGCAGGTTGTGTAGTGGCAAGTTTTGTACTATCACACGCGCATGGTTACCACGGGCTTGAATATCGGATCGATATCCGCCCAGGCCAACTAAGCCTTTCATTCCTCCGGGTCGGTTAATTGGTACCAGAGTTTTCTGGTAGGATAAAAGCACAGACATGTACACCAGCTGGCCACTGCAAGTCACTTCATAGACCGCAAACGCATTCAACATGCCACTACGATTCTGAGTGGAAGTCGAGTGCGATGGCACCTTCCTCATGACTGACGCCAAAAGATTTGACGCTTTACTGTTGAGGGAAGATATCTTACTCTTGGCTCAACACAATTTGGCCTAATCGCGCTACCAAAGCCAACTTTTTGGTAGACCGGTGCAAGCAGAACTTTCCAATGTTCGTAACTATTGGCGAGAGCCTCTCAGCCTTGACAAGATAAACGACTAAGGATAAAGTTTTAGACGTTAATTAATCCCGTTTTTGAAATAGGTCCTGCAATCAAACTTCTTTTCAGAAACGCAGTAGACGTGTGTGTGTGGCGTTTACAGTGACTAGCGATGTCTGACCGATGTACAAACTGAAGTTTCCAGGCAAGTCTAGTATCGATTACCAACGTGCTTTTTTGGCATGGGCAAGAAACGAAGCGGAATTCGATCCATGGACCATGAATGCCACCACTTGCTACTGTACCACCTTCGACTTGTCTGACTGTTAAAAGGGATAAAGATTTTGGAACCAATCAATCCAATTCAAGCGCTAAAGCACTCGGTTATTATTCTTGGAAGCAATGAGGTACAAATGCATTAGATCTAACCCGTTCAAAGACATTTGAACCAGAAATATATGTGACCCCCTGGAGTGTCATTGACGAATTACAATAAATAAGGCGACTTGGTTGACTTAGGCTCAAACCAGGATCGAATCTTGAATCTTTCGATTCAAGATTTGATCCTCGTGCAGTTTTGCGATAACGAGATTCTTGTCATTACTCTGAAGCCAATGATTCTCAGTGCCTCTCCTGATCATTAATTTATTTTGAGCTTCTCCTGAATTGTAGAGCGTAGAGACCATCGTCCCTACCTCTCTTCTTTCTTTTTCCATACTCTTATCTTGAACAGCATTTCCTATTGTAGAGCTAATTTTCTTAGATTACTTCAGGTCATGTTTCATTTCATTATTTCACTACGGCCCTACCGTTTTCCTATTTTTTTCGTTGAAGCAAGAAGTCGGCTGAGTGGTGTTTTCTTTTGATGATGCTATCACCATGATGTTTGTGCGTCAGCTGTTTGAGGAACCTGTAAAACGATGCCTACGGTCCCTTAGTCTATTTGCCTGGGCTCCAAAACGAATTCGTTCGTATGGCTAAGTTCTCAGGAAACCTCAGTAAGGTTGCCTCTCCTTGCGTTTTGGACCAAGGGCTAAGATCTAACAGGGCGCCATTTTTTCAAAGGGAAAAACAGAATCCCGGTACACTCAAGAAAGGTTTCAACATTATTCTATTTAGGCCTCTTCATGCGACCATCTTGCTTCTTTTTCCCCCTTCTTTCTGCGTCATTCCTTTCAGTGAAACGAGTTTTCTCACTAAGCTTTAGCTCTATCCTTAGCGTCATCCTTTTCTCACTTTGATCTTTTCTCCTTTACTTGCTGACAAGGGACTATCGCTTCGTGGTTTCTGCTTCTGTGCTGTATGGCACACTCTTGGGTGTATTTGGACGAATTACTCTTTTTCTTTTTCTTTGTGGTATAGAGCGAATTGAAAAGAACGTGTCACATAAATGGGAAAATAATGAATCGCCAAGAACTTACCAGGCAACACCACATTTTGCACATTTCTTAGAGGCGTAGCAACCACATATTCGACATAAACTGGGAGCATCTTCAGGGAGGCGCGGATCGGCAACATCGCCATCTATTATAAGTACATAAAAGAAGCAAAGAAGAAAATAGTCATAAATCATCGGGAAAAATGACAAACCTAAATCTGGATCCATTGGTCCATCAAAAGAATAAAATGGATTTGATCGCGGAAGGCAGCATCGGAACACGGCTATATTCGATGCATCATTGTTCTAGTAAATGAAACTAGATCACTGAATTGTTTTAGATGAGAATACCAGCTCAAGCAAATACGTATATGTTTCTTAGACTAGAAAGTCATAATTGTTCAAACCCTTTCTATTAGGGAAGATATATCCATCGAGATACATTGAGATATGTAGTACGTAGGCTAGCTTTTGAATGAAAATTAAGATGTACGAACGAAAATTTGTGAACACAGAAAAATAGGAGATACTTTTGTGGAAACGTGGCTTTGTCCTTGATTAATCAACCAAAACTGTTAAACAAATAAACAATAAGCCGGAACTTCAGTGCGTTCAGGACCTTGTATGCCATTTCTGATTGTTATCTTCGTTTCCCTAGGATCTTCTTCGTTGAGACCCCCTCAAAAAGTTCTCTAAATCGGTAGAAAGGTGGCTTGACACAATCCTATGTGTAGGATAGGCGAGGAAGAGATAAATCGTTAAACAGANTCCATATAATTCAATACCAAACACTGATGCTTTTAATAGCCTCGATTTCTCAACACCGTGTAAGGTTGGGCGGATGTGCAGTTCCTTCATTTCTCCTTCCAAGTCGGCACCCTACTTCTCTCCGAAGAATCCTAGAGCAACAGTCGGAACCCTGGTTGTTTACGTGTACGAGAGAAACCAGTTTGAGACTAGTAGGAATACAGAGGGGTTCTTTACAACCAATCAATCCGTGCAGATCAGTGTGACGCGAGCTTTGGACACCCAAGATGGTTCCACCCAGAATTAAAAGGAAGAAAAAATTTTTTCAGTAATTGTCTTTAAAACTTCATGTATCACTAGGAAGACATGAAACTGAAAGTCGCCGGCAAGCATTGGATGCTGAATGGATGAATAGCGCTTATGGGAAGTTCTGCTTACTACTGAACCTTAAAATAACATGTCTGTGAGAATGGACTGGTTTCTGATGCTCTTTACATGCTCAATTGCATCAACATCTCAGATTGCTACCGCGAACAGTATGTGAGTTGAAGACTCAATACCATAAAGTATCTGGAACAACCAGACTGGAGCAAAGCAGGAGGGAGCCGTAGCTGCGCGCCCAGCATTTTCTTCCTTGCATATTCTTACGCCTTAGAGGATTGGACCTTGAACAGGCAGAAAAAGCATGCAACCGGAGTCATCCCACCCACTGAGTAAGGGACAACGCTCAGGGTGACGCAATACGCTAGTAGCAGAGAGAAAGCCGAAACTCATACCGACACGCATAAGCAAACGAAGACCAGGAATGCCGCCACCACGCTAGTAAACCAAAGATCAAAGCTGTGTACGCCATGCTTTTCTATGCTGACCGTCGGAATCGAACGGCTATCGAGTATATCCCTAAGAGCTTGAAAGAACACGGGCAACAGTGTTGGCCCATGGTCAGACTTCCTCACTTTGAAGAAAAGGATCAATGTCTTATGCCTGGCGCGAAATGTGTCGGTTTATAGTGGCTGAGTAAGGACGATTTTAGCGTTACCAACGCCAGCTCTAACTAAATGATTATGATTAAGGACCAGCAAAGATTAAGATGCCTTGGAGCGCATATACGGTACAATTCCTGCAGTCCAAACGGAAAAAGTTCAAACAAGTTACAAGGAGCCTAGTTATCATGAAAGCCTCGAAAGAAAGCGCATTTGAAACCGCTTTAGAGAACTGTTTGCGAACAAAGGGTGGACAAAGAGAAAGGGCAGAGGATGCTCAAGTTTCATGGTCGGTGGTGGAAAATTTTTTGCTCCTAGCTCATATCAAGCAAGAAATAAGTGAGAGAGAACACAAGTGGCTCTGATTGTAAGGATAGAAATTAGAAGGATACCTTGGAACATTCTGGATCACGACAAATGAAGATGAAAAGGGCTCGATGGAAGGCGTGAGGAGGATCGTTATCACTTGTTGCGTAAATTTGAATCAAAAACGCCATAGCCTTATGACATACCTGTAATAAAAATTCAAACAATCCAAAAGGTAAGTATCCACTGAATGGAAATTCCTACACTGCATTGTAATTCAGCTGTTGTGGGGAGACGTTGAGGGTTAAGCCATGACGGTTTACCACCAATCTTTCCCAATGGTAGAAAAATACTGCGAAGACGATACAAATTATCAACTCCTAAATCGTTTCCGAAACCAAGATATACAGGGGTATCTGAAAAAAGATTCAAAATTGATAAGCAAATCAAGGATAAACATAGGGAAAAGGCTGTCCTACCATGTGCATTTCTCAACATAATGTTAATCTTGCTTCCTTATTGTTCGCTTGTCTTCCTCTTTACTTGCTGTGAAAAGCCAAAAACAAAGAACCACATGCACGAGGATAACAGCTATGACAGCGGAGTATGTTAGCGCATCATCTGACGAATAGCCGAAAAGAACTAAAAAAGTGGCATTGATCAACTAGGCTATGATTCGCTTGGCACATGTTTCTGTACTTTGTTGAACAATAACATTTAAAATGTCCACTGCACGAAATGTTTGAAAGAGAACATTGTGCTCAAGAAACATATAACAAGAGACGGAGGATTTAGGGCCTGTGCTACCCTTACTCGACGTTTTCGTATTCTCCAACTAGTCATCCAGCCGTTTCTAATACATTGGAAGCCTTGCAACAAATCATGCCTAGTCCTAGCGACATTAAATGATTAGAGGACGCAAAAAGATGCGAACCTTCAAACAAGAACCGCTTCAGGAAAAACATTGACCCAAGAGGAACCAACAGAATGACGATGCTGTATACTAGAAGATTCTTAACGGCGCCCTGCACACGCTCGTCTCGCAGATTCGGAATCAAGTCGTCCATTGTGCAACAATTTCCTGGAAAATGACTGCCACTCTATGTGATACAGGGCACCAGATAAGAGTCTTACAAGTTTTGAGAAGAGGTCGAACACTGATAGAGTAGTCATGTAAAGCAAAATATGATCTTTGAACCTATTCTAATTTCCCTTCTGTAGCCTCTCGATTAAACATCTTGAATTACTTTTCGAATTGTTTTAACTCGTCATAAAGGTACTTCTCTCAAGGACATGATAATTGCATTCTGGTCGACCTGAACCATACCCATGAAGCACTAAGGATCAGAGCACTCATACTCACCTAACCTACGAGTAAGTCTATTACGAGTCTAGTATCAATTAATTGACCCCGGAAATATGGAAGGCTCGATTGGAATCGGCGGATGTCGATCCGGCATTCGAACCCGTGACCATGCGAGCGTGATAGTGCGCCACTTGCCACTACACCATCTCGCTTTAAGCATCGACGATCCCGTTAGAAATTTGAAGACAAGTGGTCAGTAGGTTAGAGGTTTCGGTCGCATCACTTCAGTTAGTACTCAACACTGCCTACGCACAACACCTTTAGAATCACTTAACATTCTCAATAAGCTTAACGCGAAATACTGGTAAAAATGCGATAGGTTGCTTTCAGACTTCAACGACGCAACCGACGACCGTCCGTGAGTGAGTGCATCCAGCGACGTCGGCGCTGGCCACCTGTTGACAACACTGGCACGTGATCCAACGGCGTCCAGTGTTGTCAACAAGTGGCTAGCGCCGTTGTCGCTAGGACGCACGCACGTACAGAAGCAGCATGGACGGTCGCCGGTTGCGTTGAAGTCTAAAAAAAGCAGCCATACTGAATGGTTAAACAACTGCAACATTTGGAAACGAAAGATACTGACTGGCTAACAGACCAAAGGCAAGGAAAAGCAACATGTTCAAAAAAATTTTTATTAAATCTGTTATAATTTGACGTGAATCGCATTCCAACATCTAATGTATAGGTCATGTACACACATTTCAATGGCGACAAGACAATTTGTGCAACTTGAAGCAATATAACAAACTAGCGTATAAGTAGCAAAACACAAACGCTTGCCAATTAAGCAAGGGCAAAACGCGCAAAAAAAAAACAATTTTTCCTTAAAAAGAAAATTCAATTTTCCACTTTTCTTACTCATCCTTTTTCAAAAGAAGTTCTATCTGTTCAATGTCTTGTTCTTCGCGATACGCTATATAAACAAAGACGATAACGATGAGGATGACCACAATGACTCCACATAGCCCTGCATATAGCATTGCCTGATCCGGAGGCAAATCATAATAATCTGTAAAGACAGTAGCTATGAAGATTTGAAAAAAGAACGAGGCAAATTAGGTGTCGAGAAATAAATTATCAAAAACCTCTACCTCTAAAGACATAGTGATAAGTGGTGAACATTGTAAGAAGAGGAAGAACAAACATTGCAGCTGAGAACCTGATCAAATTCTTGATTGCACTGCGAGTAGAGGGATGACGCAGCAGCTCCTAATAAAGCCAAAACTATAATTTAGTTGAAAAAGGATGGCAGTTTAGTTCTGGTCGAGAAATAAACCTGTTTGATACTAATTCTCTATGCTTATATCTTATATACCAACATCCAATCAAACAATATCCTGAGGTATTGATTAGAAGTTTGGGCGTTTGAGAATAATAGTCTACCAGAAAAGTCACCTTCTCAATATTAGGTACTGGATGTGTTCCCTTGGATGGGTATGACCCTACCGTGAACGCTCGATTTAGGCACGACTGACTTATTGAAGCCAGGGAAAACAGAGTGGTTGCATTCAGGTCGCATTACGTGGGCAGCCTAAACATGTGCCCCATTTCCGAATCCTCGGCATTCCGGAATCGGCCACTTTTATCCTCCCAGTAACATCTTCCATAAAGCACTTTGCGTTTCGGCTTCATATAAAGACCATCAACTGTCGAGGTTTCGGTAGCTAATGAGCAAGCCACTCTGCAAACTTATGCAATCTAATTCACGTACAACAAAGCCATCCACTCCTCGTCATTCCGTAATTTGAGAAATTAAGGTCGCGCCGGATGGGGAAGAAACTCTTACCCTTTTGAAACTTACATCGTCAGACTTCACCCAATCCGGGGTCTCTTCCGCCTCTTTCGCCTCAGCATTGGTTGATTTCTCCTCCTTAACGTCCTCTTTTGTGGTCTTTTCGTCAGCAGCAGTATCAGCGACGCCTGGAGTGCTGACGTTTTCAAAACTCCCAGTTGTAGAGGTGTTCGAAGATGAGTCTCCTTGTACTACGTCGTACTCATCAGACATCTGAAGTTGAACTATAAACTTCATGAAGAAAGACGATACTTCACATCTAACACTTGCTAATGAGTCAGGACTGAAAAAAGAGTACACAGCACCTCTGAAATGTCAATGAAACCTCTGAAACAACAAAAGATCAAAGATCGAAACAACATTAACTAGCAACTAGTACGGAAACTAAACGGTAATCCATAAAACGTTAAATAACATGTCTGCATACATAACACGGGCAATGCATGCGATCTTACGGCAAAAACTATAGCGCTAGACAGCAAGCGAATGTGTCGCGACCTTCTTGCTGGGGCAAGTTGTTGCACACATTGTGTTAATTTCACTTTCCGATGGACTTTGACTGCTAATGAAACGAAAAAGGCCTCGACGCGGAAGCTGTGAAGTCGCGAACGTGGTAGTGGTTGTTCACACGACTACGTTTCGGACCAGAAAAACGAACTCTGGAGGCTTAGAACCACCAGCGCTAGAGACAAAAGGGTGAGCTGGACGTAGATGGGACTGTAGCACTTAGGAACTGCTAGGATGACAAGGGTTCAATCAACTGTATCACTTGCTGTCCCCTTGATCATCAACTCCTTCAAGTGGGCGCCAGTAACGTCTTCATTCGGTCATACCACAAGCCAAAATAGTCAAACGGACCTCCTCGCTTGAGTAAGTCGAGGCGTAGCATTCTCTACGCTCAGAGCCTTCGTGAAGAAGTGTGGCCATCGCGCTTGTAGCCTGACTTTCGTTTGACGTCCAGTCAGTAAGCGGCCTGGTCATCACCATGATATCGCATAACGTTTTCGGCCCGTCTGATCTTTGATTTGCTGGTGAAAGCAATGACTTCCCCGATCTTCGTTCACTGACGAAGCTCAATCCGAACCCTCTTAACTTTGAGTGCTTCGAGATATTCCGAGCATCGCACTTTCTGAAGCGCGTTGAGTGACGGTGACAGCATCTTCATCCTGCTCTCGTCGGGTCCAAGTCTCCGAGGCGCGCGTCAAAGCAGGAAGGACAGCAGTGTCGAGAAGATGAGCGCTGGCGTAGCTACCGCATCCGGAGATATTCGATTTGTTTAGTCCAACGATCATCACCGTTTGATGGCCATTTAATAGAACGGCCTGGTCAACGGTCACGTGAAGGGAGCATCAGATATCAATCTTTCCTTATGAGCATTGTCTTCGTTGAGTTCAGTCCTAAGCCGTCTCTTCGCAAGCGCCTCTCTAATTGGGCCAGCATTCGTTACTCCAGTGTGGTGTTCGGGATTCATAGCACGATGTCGCCTATAGTAGAGGTGATGTAATAGGCGGCCGTCGACCTTCACTTCTAAGTCTCCTTATTTCAAACGACGTGAAATGTTCTCGAGAGAGGCACCAAAATGTTGGGCGAATTGTATCGCCCTGCCAAACACCACTTCTCGTTGTCTGTGTCATCCTTCCGGAATGCAAAATCCTGTTTGTGAAGTTGTAGTAGAGCTCACGAAGCATCCTTACGCATTGGCTAGGGGACTCGTTGCACAGGGCTGCCATTACCGCTTCTGCCTGACAGCATCGAAGACCTTGAAATCGAATAACGTAAGAAATACCATCGCAGACGATGCTCTCCCATCTTCAGCTGGACGAGGGCTGTTTGCATGACAACTCTCGCGTCCTCGTTTTTGACACGGTCCACTCGAGTTTGCCCGCATGCCCATCTGAGCATTCCCATGTCTAGTGATTCGTCCTAGCTATATGAGTGGTTTCTTTTGTGACTTTGACCATATTTCTTGGGACGAGCGTTCTCCACCAGTCGGTCTGACAACCTGAGCGTGACGCTAGTACCGGAACGATTTTTGCAAGCAATGCAGGGCATGGTTTTGCTTCGGTAATGGTCCTACACGTGGTTCTCCTCAGTCCAGACTTGAGCCAGCACTCTTAACTACTCGGCTATCTCTGCCTCACTTTCTTAGCTCCGGTCCATTTTCCGGCAGAATATATGAACTCTCCCAAGGTTGGCGATTTATGGGCAAAACGTCGGTCTCGCACCGGTATCTGTGCTTCCCCGGCATCGTACCTTATTTCTTACACTACCGAGACCCTGCCCTCGCCTTCTTAATGGCTTATATGCCACAGCTTATCAGCACTCACACGTACAACGTGTTGAGCCGGTCGGCCAATATCAGCACGGAACCGTTAAGCTGTAAGCTTTACGTGTTAGAACGTGGGCAACAGAGCACACGAGCTCAGCGGAGCTCCGCCCAGGGCCCAAGGGCGGTACATGCAGAAGAAAGGGCGGTGCCATGGGCAAAACGCCTCGATAAGGTTTCATAACGGCCTAGACGCCGGAAAGAAATGAGCAAAGGTGAGAGATGCGCCAACAAGGGAACTGAAGGAGACTCATTGGCGGTGGACGGAGCGTTCTCGCAACGAGCGGTACTTACCGCACAAGTTCATAACTCGATCCACCGAGAGAAATTCACTTGGAGAATGAGCTTCTAGCTGCCGCTGTGGTCAGCCGCAGCTCGTGAAGGACCCACACACCTAGGGACCCCAAGGACGAGCGAGTGAACTCGCGGCCGTGGAAGCAACTTCCTGCATGGCACACGCCTGCGGACACCGTGCTTGTCTCCTGGGCAGCGGGTGCCGACTCCCCTTAGTGAAGCACGAGCTCGTCCGTAGGTCTTCTTATTTCATTTGTATTGTGTATGAAGATAAATTCAATAATTCTTGTCTTGTTTTTTGATGATAGTTAGATGGGCAAGTCCTTACATATCGCGTACTCATTAGGTTATAATTTCATGTAGTGTTTATGTAACTAATAGTTTGTTCTTTAAAGGCACAGTTCACAATAATTTTTAGTATCCGTTTTATTCGAAAAGTGGAAGTATGGATTGGGAATAGTTCATCGGTAGTGAAGAAAGCGAGAGAATTTGCCGATTTTGAGATAAACATGGGTCCTCAAATGTAGAGAAAATAGAGGTTGGACGAGATTGCCATGTCGGAAATAACATGGAAGGGGTATTCGGAAGAGATTTCAGTTATTGCAATTGCGCAAAGAGCTGGGCCACATCGAGCCAGAACTGTACAGAACTGCCTTTCACTGTCGCTACGGGTCATGACAAGTTGTTTCCCTACATGGGTTTCCTTGTGAGCGGTGCAGCCTCTACAATGCCGGTACAACTCGTCCGAGGATACACACGGGCCAATCTTTGAGCCTTTATAACTCCCCAACTAGGCCGTTTTTTGACCCCATAGTGCCAGGTGTGGTATACGCGGTAGCCTCTAATTCAACCTGTGGAGGAATCTCAGAAACAATTTTTATCGTGAACTGTGCATTTAAGATGTAGCACACACATACGGACAGACGGAGATCGTAGGGTTCGCAGGTGCAGGTGAGAGAAGGCGATGAGTGCCACACNTTCACCGCGATTTGGTTTGTTTGTTGAAAATACCAGCCTATTGACAATTGGAGAGCACATGAAAACATCATCAGCATAGACGAGGTGGTTGAGACGATGTTGTTAAACCAAGTAACCATAGTATTCTAGTTGATTTCATCTAGACACACCTGTGGTGGCAGAATAAACAGCAAAGGGAATAACGGATAAACTTGACGGACAGTGCTTGATACTAATCTTTGTTCCCTTCAAGTCCAAAACCAAAATGGTTTTTCGAGAGTATAGCTTTTTTTTGTCGTGTCAGTTTTATTAGTGCAGCGATTTATTCTAAACCTCTCAAGTGACTTGGTAACGAAAGCTCTTCAGAACGTCTTTCCTCATGAAAATAGCGAGCATAATGTGATCCCGAGTGCAGAAGTCACGTCCGAAGCTACCCTGACGGAACACGTATGGAACAGTTCTTCCACTCGAAGGATTGTCACAACAAGAACATAAGGACAGTTGAATGCAGGGAAACAAGCATGCAATTGTTGATATGTAGAGAGTCACTTTTCTCAAACCAGTTGAGCTGGGCACGATACCGTGCGCGTCTCTTGGCCTCGGCCTTGGCCTCCGATAAATGGACTCTCTCGGTGATAACTTAAAGGCACTGTTAACAAAAACATTGTTTCGGACATTTGCACATAGTTTGAATTCGACGCCCCCTCTGATACCATTTGTGCAGGAATGAGGTCGGAAAACGGCTGAATAGGGCACAATCAGGGGCCGGACAGATATCCACGGTCGCCCTCCGCCCCTTGATTGGTGTCACGTTAGACGAGTGTCGAGACGACACAGTGTCATGTAATCGCGCCAGGACCCACCCTGAATTGCAAATTGGCAAATTGCCAGGGACGCAATGTGTTGCATGCTATTGCAGACAACACATTGCGTCTCTGGCAAGTTGCCAATTTGCCGTCCCTGGCAATTTGCCAACTTGCCCGAACACTCTCTAACCGACGTTCTTTCACTGTGAAACTCGTCCAAACCCCTTTCCAGCTCTTTTTTTGGCCCTTTTTAATTCTTTTTGTTCATCGTTTTTTGAGCTTTTTTCGTTGTTATCGCTTTATTCTAGAGTAGTTCTATCAATTCCCGTCAGAAAAGGGTACCCTAACTTTTTTGTGATAGGTGCCTTTAAAGCGGATGCATTGCAGTAGCTCAGAAAAGGAGTTCATATAATGGACGCTACCGACTTTTTTTTCTATTTATATGGGTCATTCAATGGGAGCATTTGCCTCTGTTTTTACCCTTCCCCAGAGAATTTAGTCATGTTGCAAGCTATCTTTCATAGCATCGGAAGCGAGCAAACCTAACAAACTACATATTTTTTCGCCTGTACCAGTAGCCGTTCCGAGTTATCAGCGGATCTAATTCTTGGAATGGAATCTAGATTTGAATCGTAATCATCCGTAGTTCCTCTTGTCCGCCCTCCGACTGTTCTCATACCTATGCTCTATTGAAGTTGTAACGAATATTTATTTGCGTTTCCACTGTTTATTCGCATCAGTCACAGCCGCCATTTGAAGAATATCACTTGAAACTTTAGGTGAAAAACATCCTACACAACTTGGTATATACAGGGTGTCCCAGAATTATTGGCGCCGACTTATAGCAATATATTTCAAACTTCTCAGCTGCGAAAGACGATGGAGTCTCTATGCACATAGCCAACACTATGTGCTACAACATGCTACAGTCGCCTTTAAAAATATCCCCCATGAGCGCGGATAGAAGTCAAAGCTTGCTCTCGACTTG